CTCATTTTTAGCAGTTTTTTTGTAATTTTTCGTGGTTTTTCCCTTGCCATTAAAATAACTATTGAGAATATCGAAAAATGATCTCTCTAAAGTACCATCTTAATCCATAAGATAAGATACGATATGTTGAAATTGAAGCACTCCTTCGAAAAATAAACACCATTGTAAAACCACTAGATACCTCACTCCGCTCAGAATATAAAATGTAAATGTTACCATAAACTCGCGAATGGTAAACGACTGGTATCAATCGCTGAGTATTTCCTTATACGTTTGCAATTACCGTCCCATTCACTAGTGTTTTCCGCCCAGACAAACTTATAATTATTATATTATTGTATTTATATTACACCATCGTACCACTGTAGTTCCTATTACACGCATACGTGTATATATATATTATATTTATACACTACATATATATTATATTGCAGTTACAGGACTGCGGGCCATAAATCACCAGCACGCGAGGCTCTCGATCGTAATAATAAATATATGTATATATATATATATAGTTTATGGGCGTCTAAAAAGCACTCGGCATTATTTTTACTCTATACGGCGTCAATGAAATCCCCGCAATTTTCTAAGGAGGGTTCGAGACGTTTTCGGGGGTGACTAAGCCTCGCCCCCCTCAACCAGCCGTCATTCATTCCGATAAAAAAATAAAAATAAAACAAACAGACGTTCTGTTTATATTTTTTTTAACCCCGGTGAGTGCGACGCATCCACATGTAATATTTGGTCCCTGTACAATAAACCATAGTTCTCTGACAAAAAAATCGAACCTTGCGGAGGTGTGTTCGTACGAAAAGAATTATTATACGACAACGCAGGCTGTACAATAATAATATGGGATAGGTTGTTAATGAGAGACTATAAAGCGCCTTTTGTTTTTTATTTTTCAGCGATTAACACAATACGCAAAACGTACACCGATTTGTATAACTTTCTAAGAAAAATCCTTAAGACACTTAGAAAAATTGAAAACAGAAAAAAATCAACGTTATAATATAAAACACTTTAAAGTAGGGTCATGTTCGCCGAACAAAAAAAAAAAAAATGGTATACTACAGACATAATAAACTCTCGTGATCCACCCTGTGCACGATTTAATTTCGAAATTAATATTTTTAATGGATTTCGTTTTTTTTTCTCTTTCTTTTTCTGTTCGAAAATTACATGATATTTTATCAGATTAATATCATCATTACTGTTGGGATATTCTACGGAGATGAAAAAATAATAAAATGCAACGTTAATAATACTCATAAATATTGTCCGTAATTACATTTTTTTTTTTTTCGTTTTGTTGTTATTTTAATACGTTAAACTAGTTTAATATACCTATACATCAATTATGTACAAAAACTTTGCCATAGTTTGGATAGCGAGGTAAAATGTGTTTTAGATATTTTGACCTAGAATATGTGCAGTGCTGCTTCCAAAACTTTGATGCATAAAACTAGTTTTCATTACACTAATTACTCCAAAAACTCATTTAAGATAATATACACGGAACAACCATACAAACCCAAATAATGTGTAAGTCCGTGTAATAAACTTCTAGCTGTCATAATTAATTACGTTAAAACAATACCATGTACATTTAACGCAATACAATTATTTTATTTGGTCTAATAACCAGTTCATTATAATCATAATATATTATAATATATTTTATGGTTTATAATATTGCTATTTCCAGAGCAATACGTTTTAATTCCTTTAAGTGTACCATAATAAAGTTTAGAGCACGACATTTGTATTACATGTACCTACCAACATTTAATAAGACGTAGTATACGATATTTAAATTAAAAAAATAGAAATTTTAATCCAAAATGATTATGTTTATTTTCTATAGGTATGCATTTGCTTACTTGAATTTCAATATTATTATAACCGTTTTAAGTTGTCGATTATGAGTATAATAAGATAATGGTTCATATTTCAAAAATGTTTTAGCTTATATGTTAATATATTATTAATATTTGCAGATTTGTCAACGTTAGTATTTTTTTTTCGAGTAGAAGTAATTCACAAATAGTTTTCCTAACTTATAGATTGGAAATTTCATCCATGTGGGTCAGCTGTTCTTGAATAGAGGTCATTTTTCAAATTCAGCAGTACATTTTTTCTTACGTATAGCAACACAAAAACTACCTACACATTTCAAACCATCTTTACGGTACGCTGGCGGGCCACGATTCAAGAACTAAAAACTTTTTTCCGATACTCGATTTTTTTTACTTAGTTAGAAAAATTATTATAACACCGAAAAGTTGTTTTCTAATTATACTTAGTTTATGAATTTATGAAATGCTTAAAACGTCTATTTAAAAGATACAATAAATGTGTTGAATCTTTGCCGTTTTCATACTGTATTCGTTATTTAGTGCTCCGATGCTCTATTAATAATATTATTACCTGTATTACTACGAAAAAACGAGTGCGTGAAAAGTTTCGTTGACCTCAGCTCCTTAAGGATATCTAGGCACCTATATGATAATATAACATACACATTGCTGATATAATATTTATACGACTGTAGGACACAATATGCGCAACGGTCTGCGAAACGACGAGATATTCACTAACATAATACTTGTTGTTTTCTACATGTAACACGCATATATGTTATATATATGTGTATTATAATATACAGCCGCCTATAGCGAAATCCCATTTATTTTATTAATGTAATTGAACGTTCGCCACCGACTCCGCCGGACGTGTTTATTAAATTAATTAATTATGAGTTGATATTTCTCTTCCTATTTATAATATATATATAATATATATAGATATTATATTATATATATATATATATATATATTATACACAGTTGGCATGTTTGTGAGAGCGTCTTACATTAATTGCTGAATCTCAGTTTTCCGTCGGCGCCAAGTATAATAAAATATGAAATACACCGCTGCATTGCGCGCAAACGCATAATACAATTAATGCGCTAATACGCTCTGTTCTATCGTACATAATAATACTGCAATACCATAACATCGTATAGTAACAATAATAATTAACAACAACAATAGTAATGCGAATACGCATGAACATCCTTGGACGTATTATTGATATTTGGTTCGAATTCGCCGTATTAGTTCTTGATGCTGTTATAATCATTATGATATATGAATATAATATGATGCCTACGTATTTGATTGGGTTTCTCGATTATTGTCGTATTATATTTTTAGTTTAGTTCTTTTACTACTTAACCTACTGGTACAATTTCATAATGTATTCAACTATCTACATAAATAATTAGTTCGAATTACGTGAAACTCACCACTTGATTCGTAGTATAATGTATGCGCTAAAAAGAAATGTAGGTACTTTAAGTTTGTGAGGGTATTCAATACGTTTATTTTCTAGAAGATAAATACATGCTGGGTAATTCATATTTTACATATAACACGCAGGTACTTTTACGGTTGTATAACCTATAAGGATTTTTGTTAAGTGTGATATGCAATCTATTGATGAATTACGTTTTCGCTATGATTGAAATATATAATAACGAAGATAATGATATTTACATTTTTAGAACACTCATATGCGTACTTATATATTATGTACCTAAGTGTACATTTTAAGTATTTAAAACATGTTATTTAATGAACCACGAGTCACGACATTTAATCAAACGTTCAAAGAACATAATGACCGACTTACTTCGTACGTGTGCAATGTATAATACAATGTATTGTTTTTATTCTTGACATTTCTTGGATTCGAAATAGTTATATTTTGTATTTCAAAATATTCAATTGCATTTGAATCATGATGTTTAAGGATCGGAATATAAATTAAAAATAAATTATTATTATTATTTAATCAAACGAAGAATAAAACCGACTTCAGTGTCGTACTAATAACTATCATTAGTTAGTTCATATCAGGCCAACCATATTTAGACACTTGGTGCCCCATTCATATTCACTATTATAATTAGCAACTAATTGGTTTGATATTATAATAATTCCAACGAAATTTTTGATTTATAAATATAACTAGATTAGTATGATCGTAGATAACTTCTTAAAAAAGGCAATACGAATCACTACATTATTTATGTCTTAATTGTATATTATTCAAAACTATTGTGCTAACACATTTATATGTATAAATATATATTTTTATTATATATAGTAAGCCCGGCAACTATGGCCATTAGCTGTTTTTGTTTGTAACGAGGAGGAACGGTTGAGTTTGGAACACGATTTGTATGTGTGGAGAGGATTCATTGCTAAAAATCACGGGTAAACACCCATCCGGGAGCTAACTAAATCGGCCGATACCTATACACTCAGAGCATTTCCGTAGTTAAGTGTATGGACCGCACAACAACAAGCAACTTTTAGATTTTGAGCGGAACGAGGACGCTAGTGATTTTCCAATGGTGTTTATATTTTTATATTTATTTTTTTTTATTCTGTATACATAATTTCTACGAGAAGGAGTGCTTAGATTTGTACATATAGTACCTTATCTTTAAGAAAATGGCATCAATATGGTACTTTAGGTACCTAATTTTTCAATTTTCTCAATAATTATAATGCCACCGGAAAAACCACCGCCAAATTACGGAAAACCGCTAAAAATGGGATTTTAATTTCTAACGCTTTGTGTATTACCATAGAAACGAATAAAAAAAAAAATAATATTATAATATTAATAATTCAACTTATAGGCTAAAATAAATAATAGCAATATAAAATATCCATACTGACAAACCGTATCCGCTCAGAACCGTTTTTCTTATACAATAATATTATATCATTGAATTTGAGTTTAATACAATCCATTATACCTTGACCCACTTGTAACCTACTGTACAGCAGAGCGACATTCACTTATCCACTTTTTCTATTGTGTAATACCTAAATATTACGATCATATGCTCATGTAGGTTTCGTAGTTACTATGGTTCATACTCCATATGTCATAAATTCTACCATCAAGGTGTTATTCCGGTATTAACAATGAAAAATTGCTCTATCATCCAAATACGAAGGAGGCACACCGGGAAATTTTAGGTTACCCTCTAGGTCTAAGAATATCTTCTCCACGTCTGCTTTAATGACAAACTGATATTTATGGAATTGCATCAATATCGTAACTAAATCGTCTTGAACAATCGGACCACACAAAAGCAAATCGTTCAAGGATAAGTTTGAAGTACTTTTGGCCGATGCGTCGAACACGACACGTAACTCAGTTATAAGACTTGATAGCTTAATCACCGGATGAAGCGGAAGGTAAAATGTGGATGATCTTCTTCTTCGCTCACTTTCTTCATATGCCCCATTCTTAAATATTCTTCTATACATTGTGTGTATTGAGACTATAGTTCTGGATCACGCTGAAGCCTCCGTTCAACGCTGAGAAATCTTGCTGTCGCCATTTCTAGAGTTTTTCCAATGGCATGTGCATCCGACTTTAATGGCAGTTACAGAACGAATCTGCCTCTCTGATCTCGCCTTGCAGTTCCTTCAAAGTGACTGAGAGCTTCCTGTTCTTCAATACATTTCTTATTTGACAGCATGAACATGGGCGGATAGACCTAATATTAGCAGAAATAAGCGCCTTCTTCGTAGGTTGATTTGGTTTAGAAAACATGGTCTTACCATTAACCGTAGTAGCAGGATTGGTAGACATTGATTTTGGAAATACAGCTTCCGAGCTTTCCATTAGATAGTTGGCGATTCGCGCTCACACAATATATTATTCTAATAATACTTTAGTGGCGGTTAGCTCTCACTAAAAATGAATTGGTAAAAATACAAATATGGCAATTTACGATATATGATATTGTCATAATATAAAAAGAACTCCGATTTGCGCACATAAAAATTATAATTCTGCATCAACACTACGTAAAGGACTGCCGGCTCAGGCGGCCGTGCTAATTAATCCCGTTCCAGCGAGCCGGTGGTGGCTGATAGCGCGTATGCGACCGTGCGTAATCTACATATTATATTATATAACTCTCAGCTGACACTGACTATTATACAAAAATAAAAACAATAATATAATACAAACAAAAACAAATAATATGTTGGTGCGTGTGTGTGCCGGTCGGTGGTGGAGTGGTGAAAAATAATATGCCGTAGGTACTCATCCGGGCGCAAACACTGTACATAATACATAATAGAACATATTTTGAATAAAATATTTATCATTTAAAGTACATAATAATACATCGAATGAAAACTTATGTATCTGTAATAATGTTTGTGTATTTTTCTTATAAGACCGTTTCACTTTTAGAACTCAGTATTTTCACGAGAAACTTCTAAATACTCGTACCAGAAAAATATATTCAAACTTTTGAACAAAACATCTGTGATTATTTTTATAATTTACATAACATAATATACATATTAAAATGTTTTTCACATGAAGTAAATTATATTACTTCCGAAGTTTTAACAGATCATCAGTAAAATATTTGTTTGCAACAGAATGCAATGTACCTACAAATATATTGGAACTTTATTAAAATAATTTTTTTCTATATTTAACAGTTATTAAATAATGGTTATAATCGTCATACTTTTTCTTCTTTTGATTATTATACCTTATTATGCATTGTAGTATATTTTTTCACACCTGATTTTTAAATGAATATTTAAAAACAATACATTAAAGTTTAAAATTAAAATTACCTATTATATAGATACACGTGTAATATTATAAACAAAAAATGAAAGTATATAAAAAAATGTTATTTATATTGTTATGTTGAGTATAATTGTACTATTTAAAGGCCTCTGCAAACTAAGAACCAAAATAAAATGTGTTAACACCAACGGGAAAATTAGTGGCCCTATAGTTTTGAGTGCATTTGTAACATTGGTAGGATTTTGAAATGGTGTTGAACAAACCCACTCAATAATAATAATGTTAGCCACTAATAGTTATGTTAGAACGTCGGTAAATGATAGGCGATCAATGTCATGTTCAAGTTGAAGACTTGAAATTTCGTATTATTAACTGACAGTAACGTTGCTAGGACCAAAGTTTGCCTAAGACACAATATCACCATTCACTATGAATGCTCACCCCCATTCCTATTTTTTTTACATGAACTAATTGAAGTTTTGAATTTTCAAATTTGGTCATTAAACCATACAACCAATACATTTGATTTGTATGCAATTAATTATTTTGTAGTTTTGTTTTGTTATAAGGCTCACATTTTTACTGTACATTTTTAAGCTGATGATTTTTTCCAAAAGTTTCTATACATCGAAATTTGAACGAATTCTATTTTTATATAATTTTACACAATCTGTATTAAAATGATACAATAAATATAATGAGTTCTAAGTAAGTGAAAAAGTATGACAGTAAAAAACTGATAACAGTGATGGAAGAATGTTGACTTCCTATTTATGATATTTTTGTCATGTAAGTTAATTAAATATTAATCAATATAACAGTATCTTAAGAGATCACAACACATTTACGCTTCATATGCCTACAGAGATCATCAGTTATTGATAAATAGAATAAACTTTGAATAAAATAAGAGTGTTTGGATTCGGTGACATTCGATTATACAATATTTTATAGCAGCTATTAGCTTATTTTTATTAAAAGTTTTTAATTAAGATCCGTGTTTAATATTAAGTTTGATACGCGGCGTATACTAAACTTTAAGTACTTACCTACGAAGGATAATAGTCTATAATAACAGTTTAGAAGAAATGGGGCTATGCTTATTTTACTAAATTATAGTCGTTAATATTAATTTATTACAATTTTATAATTAATTGTTAGAATGGTCTGAGTATACTAATAACTAGACTAAAAGCTAGAAAAAACTAACTTCACTTCCTGAGGATGGTGGCATATAATATCGGTCGGATAGACATCTATTTGGATACCATTGCCACAGAATTTGGTTTTGAGATGTTGAGACGTTTCCTCGACGATATAGCTTTTGTACATGAGTTAATTAATGGTAAATTATCCTGTCCTAGAGTCCCTAAAGATGATATACACTTTATAAACTCAGATTTTTAGGCAAGATAATATATAACCGTTCTTTTTTTAGTACCGCAACATTGAACAAATATACCTAATTACATTTAATCTAGCGTTTAGAGAAAATATATAATACATTTGTAATAATTTACCAAATTCTGATTATTTATTGATTCACATATCGAATCAAAAAAATCAACCATTACAATTAATTATGCTGTACCTACCTAACTAAGATACCTATTATTTTGTAGAAAATCCTTATGACCCCTTCATGGAGTTAAAAATATTGTTTAAATTAAATAAATACACTACAATACTAAATGTTACATATATTTAATGTTTTATGCAAAATCATCATTCTGGACCATTACCATTAGTACATAAGACATTAAAACTCAGAAATTACTCATTTGAATTTTAATTTTAATGCGTCAACTTTTTCCAAAAAACTTAACAAAAGATTAACAATTATTTACAATATACAACTTAAATGTGTGGTTTTCATTTGAAAAATAGAAGTTTGTATTGCCACAAGATACCCCTAAAATTGCTTAAAAATTTTAAAAGTTTTTACATATATTATGGTCTCTAAATATACTTAAAGAAAGAAAAATAGAAATTTGAACAATTACATTATTAATGGATAACATTGGGGTGGGCATGGTTGATAAGTCATCCTACATATAAACTTATTTAATATTATCATACAATAGAACACCGGAGAAGAGTTGACATAGAATACCTTTAGTTATAATATTAGGCACTTTAGTACTTTCAATCACTATTGTTATTAATTGGCATTATAAATATTAAACAAGCAAAACATTTCTTTGGCTTTATTAATCATAATATAAACCAAACATGAATAATAAACTGATGCATAACCAAGGGCTTGAAACCGAAAATATTCATTCGTATTTCGACCTCAATTTCGGTTGTCTGTAATGATTTCGTTTTTGGTTTTGAATACTGGTGTTGATTTTTTTCAATTTTGTATCTGGTATCGATTTTGGTTTAAATGGTTATAACCAGTATTCAAAATCAGGAACCAATATCGGTTTCAAGCCGTGTACATAACTCTGCAAGCCATAAATATAATTTTGTGAAACGTATTTGGCTACAAGCTTGTTTACCGATTTTAATTATTTTACTGCACAGAAAAACTAGAAGAGATGCGTGATATGATATTCATATCGTATAATTTCGATACACATATTATTATATTTTGTTAAATATCGTCCGGACGTGTCGATATTAATATATTATTAGTATAATGATATGTACGATTGGTCACGAATTGCTCGATAGTTTTTGTTTCATTTTCATCCGTGTACTCGATCTATATGATAAGGTTATAATTTATAATTATAGAACTATAGCACATCTAATCATACAAACAGGTATTGTTTTTTTGACGTTCTCGAGACGTCCTCCCGAGTGAAAACAATGCGCTTACAACTATGGTGTTAGAGAGCTACCTGCATATAACACACAACGACGAAAACAACAACAACAACAACAATAATAATAATAACAATAATATAGGTTATTAATAATATTCTGTGTACAATAGTTATGGCATTTAGACACACGACAAACGTGCACGCATAGGAATAATATTTGAGAAATGTATCCCTTGTACCATTACTCTGCCGTATAAATCATATCGTATATTATGATATACGAACATAATATTATAGTCGGTAGATCGAGTTCTGTTGTGTGCATAACATTATACCAAACACTCACGTTCTGAGTTTGGAATTGAAAAAAGCGATCGAGCAGTTGTTGAATATGATTTGGCTATCGTGTGAGTGTAAAACACGGTAGGTAATAATAATCATTATAATAATAATAATAATCATAATAATAATAATAATATAATAATTATAGAATTTAATATGGAATTTAATGACGGTGTTTTTGAGGGTTCCTTCGCATTCGGGTAATTCAATCGACAATCGTAGGTACCTATAGGCTGAGTTTAATATGCATCACACGCAAGTGTAATAATTGATAAGGACAATAACAATGGCGACGAATGGTCTATATGTACCCACATTAATATTATCCTATGTGGGCTAATGTAATGTTATATGCTAATATTGTATAGTTACATCATAATTATAGCTATACAGTTACTATATATGTATCTAAGGGAGGGGCAAAGTGGACATTTTCCTCGGGGCGCATCAGCTTGATAAAATTATAGGGCAACCTCATAAAAAATTATAAAAAAAAATAATTTACATTTTTTACATAATTATTTTTATCTATCATAGGATGGGTGGAATTAAGGGTAGCTTTAACGAGATTGGAAAAAAACTTCTGAACCCAAATTTTTTACCAGTTCCCCGATAAGAATTTTGAAATTTAATTTGATTTAAAGAATTAAGCATACTTGTTATACCTTCAAAAATGTGTTTTTTTTTTATTAAATTTCGAACATTTTCTAAAGTGTCTACTCACAAAACTCGTTTTTTGATTTTGCAAATTTCCACAGTAAGTACAAAAACCTATGTTTGTAATTAATAGGACATAATATTTCACATTGAAACTGTAATGTTAAAAAATAGAAAATGTAAAACATGATTTATTTTATTATAGAATATAAAAGTGTGCTAATTTAAAAATAATATACATACTTTCTGATAAAAATAGTGGCCCATAAATGGTTGTATTATAGTTACACAAAT